ACACTGTAGATTTAACATTGTCAATTCATTATCAATTCATCATGAAATAACCTTATAATGACTTCAATTACTATTCCATGTGCAGTGTTTAAGTTTTCATTAGCCAAGTAGCCAAATCTATAAAAGCTGATTTTGCTAAATATTTTCATTTGAAATTAGCCAAAAAGGTCGATGGAATTGAAATTATCATTGCTTCTATTGTTTTGGCTAATCAATTTGTCTATGTTCATACCGAAATAAGCCAAATCGCTAAATTTTTTTTGGCCAGCTTAAACCTGTGTGTGACCAAATGAGAGATGAGCATGGGTAACTAATATTTAAAAAGGATGTTTATTTGAAATATGGATGTTTGCTGAAAAGCAGATTGATACTAGCCATGGCAGGGTTCAAATTTCCTCAAAATGCTCCATCTGCAAATAACTGCTGTGGGTGGCTTTACTACAGCAATTTATTTTTCTACAGCAACAAGCTTCAAAAATTGTTTGAACACTTTAAAGGCCTATTCTAAATGTATTTGTATAATCCATTGCTAGGCCTGGCTCAGGTAACTTGACAGCAAAAAGCTTGCTGGCGAGCATGGGATTTACAGTACAACAGGTTTTCTATGTAAATGCTGTCGGTGCTGTGGAAAAATTCGAACCCTGCATGGATGTACTTGAACCAAACCATACTTGGATAATCACAAGTGAAATATAATAAATAAAAATTACTTGCACTATAATTACAGGACACAAAATTTTACGTTGTTACCGAAAGGTTCCAACAAGGAACTGATCTACCAGGTGAAATGACTAACAAAAATGAAAACACCAACTTTGGAATGCAGCGCAACGAAAATGGGTAGGTTGAAAGTTATGAAATCACTTGCACACAGAAATAATGAAACAAATAATAGGCATTCATTATCATCAAGCAGGCATGTTAGTTAGTATGAAAATGTCAAAATTTCAAAAACAGTTTTTAATTAAGACACAAAAAGCTCACGTCAGTCAGTTTTTGTCTCAAATATCCATCCAGGGTATAGTAAAATGATTAATGAGGTGTACCTATTTAATAAGATAAAATAAACTAGTGCTCCAAAATAGTACATTTGGTACTTGCATTAATATAAACAATTGACACGGTAAAAATATTAAAACAATGATCAAATGCAGTATAATATAATAATTACAATATAAAAGAGATATCAAACAACAACCATTAAAACATTACAACAGTCATTAAAGCACAGGAACAACAGAAACAAGGAGTAAACTAAGACAATGTTATTTGAAGTTATTGCAATTATTATCATACCATTATCATCATCATTATTATTGTTGTTGTTGTTGTTGTTGCTGTCGCTGTTGTTGTTATTATTATCATTATCATTATTATTACTACTACTGTTCATTTGCTTTAACCTACAGTATGGTCCCTTTAGGTATCCAAAGTGATGGGAAAAGAACTGAAAAGTATAGAGCTTGTTTTATTCCCTTCAAAATATATGATGATATCTGGAAATCATCAGCCAATCACAGTGCAGAAAGTATAGACCTTTGGGAAATTAACCTGCATGAATAGAAATAGTATATTAGTAGACCCTTATTTAGATGTCCCTAAAATTCATATGAGTTGGCAAAATATTTATCAAACAATTTAATAATGTGACTAGCGAATATTATTTGTGTCTATACATACTCCTGTCAAAATGAAAAACTAAACCAAAGTTTTATACTCATTTGACTGTGACAAGAGCAAATTAGACTTTACGACACTGTTTCAGACCAGGTTTATTGGAGGCGGCTGTTTTGGGTTTGCAGGCCTACAGTAAGGGAATTTCATATTTTTTCACTTGTCCCCGGACAAGTACCTTTGAAAAATGCACTTGTCCTGAAGACAATTTTACTTGTTCCAATATTACTGCCCAATAATCATAAAAAATAACACAAAAGTAAAGTATTTTTTGCTATGGCCCTACAACAATAATAGGCTAACATGCATACTGCATTGATCATGCAAAAATGTTTTTCTTCAAAAATTTCAATAATGTATAATATGGAGAAATTCAAATAAAATAAACAATATTAATAATATTCTATGTATGTGTGTTCATCGTTTTCTTATTGCATGTTTAAAAGCCGTCGTCAAATCAACTGCAAGTAAAAATTTCTCAGGCATGGTTAATTCTCACGATACACGAGTTCTCAGCCACACGCTGACAGGACTGTGTTTTATGACATTATTTTGGGGAGGGGGTTGGCCATATCGTCTGTTTGCATCCGTTTGCAGTCTTAGTCAATTCTAATGCTAACTTCAAATATTTTTTTTTTTTTTTTTTGCGTAGGATACAAAAAAATAATCCAATTGCACGGAAAAACCTCTAGAAAAATAGATGCGCAGAATCGTACAGTAAATGCTTGTGTTCCTACTACTGTATCAAGGCTTCAATTTTTTGCAAAATATCAGTGGCAATCGGCTCATATTTCTCAAGTGCTGCAACGGATTTCTGGGCCTAGTTTTTTACGCGGGGAATATTTTACAGCCTGACACATCCTCATTTCATTTATTACACAGTAAATAAAATTGCTTACCTCTCAACGAAAGACAAGCCCTGTAGGCCTATATAACTCCGAGCATGGGCCGAGCGGACGAATCCCTTCTATTGAATCTCCGAGACGGTGAAACTTTTGAGACGGCAAAATGATTCATTTAGGCCACTAAACCCTCAATTTTTAACTCCAGTTTTACAAGATTTGGATTTTATATGCACATTATCTCCATCACTCAAAAGTGAATGATTTTTTAATTAATTTAACAATTTTAAATCCTAATTTAACTACCCTTTCTTAGCCTCTCTAGATTGCCTTCCCCATAGTTCACATAGATATCTACATCACTGAGACAGTGTCCAAAAAAAATTTAAAAATCTATGACCCTGGTGTAATGCATTTGTTGAGTTGGCATAGAATGACTCAACTCTTAAAAACTTTCGTAATTTTCGATTATGTTATTGTGTAGTTTTCAACATAGTATCTAACCATGAAGGAGCTGAGTACCAAAGCTGAAATTTGGTTTATAGGTAGATCTATATATCTGATTAACTGGGGTAAATTTAAGAAAAGATTTTAAATGTCCACATGATGATCCGTTGTTGAGAAACATAGGCGTTTTTCACTTTTATAGATCTGGTCCCAACTTTGAATATATGCCATTCAACTTTAATTAAGTTGATCAGCCTGCGCTTGCATATGGCAAGAGACAACTACACTTCGATAATATATCTTTAATATGAGGGGTATATACCCACTCAAATGGACGCAGGGTGACCTCGAAAATCACAAAAAAATTTGCATCGTTAAACAAAGCTGCTATTTTGAGTGCAGATAACTTCAAAAGGGAAGGGATAACTGCTAATCTAAGGCCATATTTGTGAAATATGGCGAAAAATAAGTTAGAATACCAAGTTTGACCCTGATAGCTATTACCAATCTTGAGTTATAAGCTTCCAAAGTTGAAGTAAATTGCGTTTGCACATCTTGAAGAACCACGCCCCTTTTTTGAGGAGTCAATATTTCGGAAACTATATATCCTATAAGGCTAGTTTTTTTTTGTTGGTTTAGCATATAGTGGATCATTTATATGGAGTTTCATGAAAATCTGAGACAGTCATACAGGATTTTTTTTTTAAATCTGATTGATTTGACATGGAATGACCCTACAATAGGTCAAAGGTCAGAATGTACCGTTTCCGGTCACTATTTGAATATTTTTTCATTAAGACGAATATAAACATGAATCTTCTGAACAGATTGCAATCAATTGTGAGTCTCTGTGACCAGTAGTTACCGAGATATGACATTACAAGGTCAAAGGTCAAACTTTCAAAAACCGCATTTCCCGCCATTTTTTGATAAAAAGTTGTATTACAACAAATAGGAACATGCATATTGTGAACAATTTGAGACCAAAATAAAGTCTCTCTGACCAGTGGCTATCGAGATACAAGCGTCCAAATCAACAGGCGGCCATTTTGAAAAACGCCCTCAAACGCGACTTTCCCCCAATATCTGGGAGGTATATAGGAGCTATATTTTATCTAAATTGGTCCATCTTGCCAAATCCATCGAGAAAAAAAGGTATCCTAAAATTAGTCACGGATCTCATGAAAATGACTCTACTAATAGATCTGTAACAATTAAGAATTCATTTTAAATCTTTACTGCAGAAAATAACAAATTTTATATTGAATGTGCTGTTCTTTTAAACAGTCAATAAATCACGGGAGTGTTGGCTAACTTGATGCACGCAGTGCCATGCGTAACCATGGCATAGTCGGTTTTCTTTTTAACATCTCTTTGTGTACCGACAATTTGTTAATAAAATATGTAGCGCATTGTCAAGAGTCAGATTTCTTATAAGTAGGCCTACTGTGATACACATCACATTACACGTGAAGTAGCCTATTATAAAAGTGCATGTATACGGACAAGGTCCCTAAAATTCTTGTGTTGTCCGACCGTAAAAAACACTTGTCCCGGGCGTTGGGCAAGTGGGTTCACTTATGCCTGGTTTGTATTCAACATCACTGGGACTACGTCACTTTGACTTGCACTTCAAGAGTCTATGTCACTTTAACTATATCGATTAAACCTGGAGGTTACTCTGATAATACTTGCATTGGGGAAAGAAAGGAGTGTTTTTCCCTGCATTGTTGTGTTAAAACACTTTTTACAATTAAGGTCACACATGGATACCCAGAGTGACCCCCACCCCATGGGAGCTGGTTTGATTGCCATGTAAAATTTGTACTATTAAAACACTAACATCTTTTGATCTTCAGACTTTCTGATACTGGCATGCAAAACCATCAAGGCAATTCTGCTTTCTATATCGATATGAATGCAATATCCAACCCGGGTTCCTACACAAGTTGTTTTGCCTATCAAGGCAGTTTTCGTTATCGTGTGCGTCGTGGAGCAATTATCATTAACTACATGACTGTGATAATCAACCAGGGTTCCAACATAGAAGCTGTGGTAGGTTCAAAATAGAATTATAACTTTCTGAGTTTTCAAATTTATTTATTTATTTTTTTACATGTTTTATGCTGAATCTTGTACGCTCTCATGAATAAAACTAATAACTGGTTTTGTTGCCTCTTCAGAGAAATGGTGATGGCAATCAAGGCAGTTTTCGTTATCCTGTGTGGCGTGGAGCAAATATCATGACTGCGATATCCAACCAGGGTTCCAACATAGAAGCTGTGGTAGGTTCAAAATAGAATTATAACTTTCTGAGTTTTCAAATTTATTAATTTTTTTTTTACATGTTTTATGCTGAATCTTGTACGCTATCATGAATAAAACTAATAACTGGTTTTGTTGCCTCTTCAGAGAAATGGTGATGGCAATCAAGGCAGTTTTCGTTATCCTGTGTGGCGTGGAGCAAATATCATGACTGCGATATCCAACCAGGGTTCCAACATAGAAGCTGTGGTAGGTTCAAAATAGAATTATAACTTTCTGAGTTTTCCAATTTATTAATTTTTTTTTTTTACATGTTTTATACTGAATCTTGTACGCTATCATGAATAAAACTAATAACTGGTTTTGTTGCCTCTTCAGAGAAATGGTGATGGCAATCAAGGCAGTTTTCGTTATCTTGTGTGGCGTGGAGCAAATATCATGACTGCGATATCC